AAAAAAAAGAAAAAATAAAGTCCTGAGTGGTAGCTTCCAAAACATTAAAGGTAAAAGCTTATAATATTCCTAGCACATGATTAAGTTTTTGGAAGAAAATGGTGTACTATCTACCTACTTATCTCTCAAAGTATTTACACCAAAACACTGGCAGTTATTAGCTTTAAATGATGCAAAAATGAGTGAATTTAAGTTTGTTAATTTTCTTTAACAGCATTTTCTTATTTTTTTGTACTAATTTGTTTATATAAAGAGAAAACAGATAATAATAGCAAAATTTGGATTTTTTTTTGTTTTCATCATGTCCCTTTCATCTACTTTCTTAATAATATAGCAAGTTCTTCATTAAATTAATATTAATTAACTAAATTAGAAGATGAATTCCTTTTTTTTAATTATAAATAAACTTAAACTTTTGGTACTGAGGATCCATGTGTCTGCTACCTGCAGAGATTTTAGAGAAAGAAAACCAGTTACAAATCATCTCAACTTGATTCTTTTGGGAGTGATTTTGTTAGAGTGGAATCTAGTGGATGATGACAAGAGAATAATTAATCTGTAATTTTGTCCACATATACAGTCATGGATGTCCATCAAGAGCAGAACTGAAATATCCTTGAGTCCATTAAGATCTTTTAGTCTCGGCTCGGCGCCTATAGCTCAACCGGCTAAGGCGCCAGCCACATACACCTAAGGTGGCAGGTTCGAATCCCCAGCCTGGACCCGCCAAACAACAATGACGGCTGCAACCAAAAAATAGCCGGGCGTTGTGGCGGGCGCCTGTAGTCCCAGCTACTTGGGAGGCGGAGGCAGGAGACTCGCTTGAGCCCAGGAGTTGGAGGTTGCTGTGAGTGTGAAGCCACGGCACTTTGCCCAGGGGGACAGCTTGAGGCTCTGTCTCAAAAAAAAAAAAGATCTTTTAGTCTCCTTTCTCAAAACCTTATTTCTTATTTCCCACAAACCTAGATTTGAAAACAATTTTGTTGGTGACCCCAATTTATAATTTCCCTGGAATGTCTTCTATTGGATACTAATTTTTCAGGTATCCCGTCCTCATAAAGTTACATGTCAAACTCTGTTATTAGGAACAGAGCTTCTTCCATGACTTCTAATATAGATAGAAAGAAAACATCATGCTAACTATTATAGGAACAGTGTCCGCATATTAAGAAAGTGTATTTTGAAGAGATGTCCATCTTCTGCTTTCTTATTCCTAAGTTTTTTTGAGACAGAGTCTCACTTTGTTACACTTGGTAGCGTGCTGTGGTACTACCCAACTTTTTAAGAAATGAAAGTTTTACATACACTTGGTTCAAAAACGTAAGAAGTCGGTGCAGTGCGTGTGGCTCATTGGACTGGGTGCCAGCCCCAAGTACCGAGAGCAGCAGGTTCAAACCTGGCCCGGCCAAACTGCAGCAAAAAATAGCCGGTGTCGTGGAGGGCGCCTGTAGTCCCAGCTACTCTGGAGGTTGAGGCAAGAGAATCGCCCCAGGTGTCCTCAAACTTTTCAAACAGGGGGCCAGTTCACTGTCCCTCAGACTGTTGGAGGGCCGGACTGCAGCCCTGGGAAGAGTCCGCTGCTAAGCAGGACAGGCAGCAGCGGCAAAAACACCCGGCGGCGGGATAAATGTCCTTGGTGGGCGGCAGTTTGAGGACGCCTGGCTTACAGTAACTACAAAGGCCTGGGCTCAGGTGATTCTACTCAGCCTCCTGCATAGTTCTTGATTTTCTAAACTTGTAGATTGCCTCTGGAAGTCTTCTGGAGAAAGAATGCCTGAGAAATAAAAGTTTTTGAAAACTTGCATGATTGAAAAGATTCCTTTTTTCTACATTCATATGACTCATGGCTTCTTTTGGTTTAGAATTTAAGAGGGAAATAATATCTCCCCTCAAAATTTTAAAGTTTTTGTTCCATTTGATGGTTTAGTTTTCAGTAATGTTGTTGAGACATCTAACGTTGTACTGATAATCAATCGTTTATATATGCCCTCCCTAGGTCCTCTTTTGTCAGAGAAGTCAGTGTTTCACATTTTTAGGGTGACGCATCTTAGAGTGCAGGCTGTGTGTCTTTTTAAAATCCATTATTCTGAGGAGATGGAAGGACCTTCCAATGTGGAAATTTATGCCCTTCAGTCCTAGGAAATTTGTGTTTTTTTTAAATATTCTTTCTTCTGATTTTGCTGTTCTGTTTTTCTGTGATTGGCATTCCTAGACTGATCTTTTATTTTCTTACTTTTTCTCTACTTCACACTTTTATTTTGTGTTTTTTTCTACTTTCATTGCAATTTTCTTATCTCTATTTTCTGCCCTTCTATTACAGTCTCATTCTTCTATCATATTTTTAAGTTTCAAGATAACATTTTAATTTTCTGAATATTCTTTTTATAAGAAGCATCTTGTTCTGTTTTATGGGTGTGAAATGTCATGTTTCCTATTATATTATACTATATATAGTATATTAATGACAGTTTCTTTTTACTAGAGGTAAAATTTTCACACAGTAAAATTCTCATTTTGGCATAGGGTTCTATTAGTTCTGACAAACGTATAGAGTCATGCAGCCAAACACCATATTAAAGATATAGAACAGTTCCCTTACCTCTCAAAAGTTTGAAGTTGTTCTCTTTTTCTGTCTCCAGTATTTGTCAGCTCTGTTCTGTTTTCTTTTCTTTTTTTCCTTGCTCTCTTTTCTATCTCTAATGCTTTGCCTTTTCTAGAATGTCTGTTTTCCAGAATAATAGAATCAGAATAGTTAAAAAAAAAAACACTTTTAGCTGGGCAAAGTGGCTCACACCCATAATCCTAGCACTCTGGGAGGCCTAGGTGGGTGGATCGCCTGTGCTCATGAGTTGGAGACCAGCCTGAGGCAGAGTGAGACCTCATCTCAAAAAATAGCCAGGTGTTGTGGCAGGAGCCTGTAGTCCCACCTGCTCGGGAGGTTGAGGCTAGAGAATTGCTTAAGCTCAAGATTTTGAGGTTGCTGTGAGCTGTGACGCCAGGGCACTCTACGAAGGGTGACATACTGAAACTTTGTCTTAAAAAAAAACAGAAATAAAAAACCCCCCAAATTTATCAAAATGTGATTCCTGAGAGCCAAAGCTGTAGTCATATACCACGTTAAGTACTATTTTAGCTACTTTCATTTTTCTGATATTCTCCTCATCAGTTTACTTCCTGATTATAATTTGGTTCTCCACATCAGTGTGCTTCCAATGAAATCATGTACAGTCACATGGACTTCAAGTATTTCCTATTTCTGTGATAGCAATTTCTGATAAAATAATAAATTGGCCTACTATATGAGCTTCCAGTGTTCTTTACTAGAGCAGTGTGGTCTGTGAACTCCCTCACTGAGAATTACTTTATTCCTTGTGATCCATTTTAAGACTATGATGGTGAACGTGAAAATGTGTGACTTGTATAACTCTCATTCTTAATCCACTAGTCATGGGGCTACATGGAGAATTAAAAAAAAAAAGGAACTTCAAGAATAATTTGAACTGAGAATTCTTTTTTTTTTTGTACAGAGTTTTACTTTATTGCCCACGGTAGAGTGCCCTTGTGATACACAGCTCACAGCAACCTTCAACTCCTGGGCTTAGGCGATTCTCTTAAATCAGCCTCCTGAGTAGCTGGGATTACGGGTGCCCACCACAATGCCCAGCTATTTTTTTTTGTTGTTGTTGCAGTTTGGCAGGGGTCAGGTTTGAACCCGCCACCCTTGATATGTGGGGCTGGTCCACAGGCACCGCCCCTGAACTGAGAATTCTTAAAAAAGTATATTGAGCCCCCAATCATTGCTGATGGAAATGAAAAATGGTACAGGCAATTTGGAACACAGTTTGGCAGTTTCTTATAAAACTAAAGATAATGTTACCATCTGATGCAGCAACCACACTCATTTTCCCAAATGAGTCAAAAATATGCCCTCCCCCCAAACATGGACACAATGTTTATAGCAGTTTTATTTGTAATTGCTAAAATTTGGAAGCAGCCAAGATGTTCGTTAAGGCAATGAAACTACTCTGTATGATAGTTTAGTGGCAAATACATATTATACATTTGTCAAAACATACAAAATGTAAAACTGGGCGGCGCCTGTGGCTCAAAGGAGTAGGGTGCCAGCCTCATATGCCAGAGGTGGTGGGTTCAAACCCAGCCCTGGCCAAATAAAACCCCCCCAAAGTCCCCTAAAATGTTAAACTGCAAGAGTGAACCTGAAAGTGAACTTAGGACTTTGGGTGATTATGGTACCTCAGTGTTGGTTCATTGATATAATAAATGTACCACTCTAGTGGAGGATGTTGAAAGTTAGGGAGGCTGTGCATGTTTGGGGGCAGGGAACATATGAGAAATGTCTGTGCGTTCTGCTCAGTTTTGTTGTGAATGTAAAACTGCTCTATTAAAGTCTTTAAAAGAAACTGAACCAGTAGTACATTTTCCCCATAGGGACTTTAGTTCTTCTTGGTCTTAGTTATCATTATCTAAACTTTGTAAACCATTTGGCTAAAATTTGATTTTGTGGTTTAATGCTGATGTTAAATGTGTTCATTGAATTATTAAGGTAATTATTAATCTGTCCACTTATTTTTATAGCTGATGCATGAAGAGAAAAATGGAGATACACCTGATTATAAATTGTTTAATAAACTTTTAAAATTTATTGTTTCCTCTGTCTCGAAAGAATAAATATTCAGAGCTCTTTGTTGTTACTTTCAGTATCCTACTTGAGAGGAGGTCATTGTTTAGTTCACTTTTATTAGACAAATTATCTTTCATGAAACTGTGATAGTCTGGGATTAGAACCTTTAATTTTTATAGACCAATTTGTAATTGGATTAGAGCAAGATTTCTTTGTTACATGTAGAACAGAATCATTGTGACAAAAAATGTTGTTTTTGATAGTAATAGAAATTACTTAAAACAGAGTATGAAGAACTATTTATTCCTTCTTCTGAAAATTAGTAATCAGTATTCTTCCAATATTTTTTGTTTACCAGGTATGGACAATGTAAAGCCATTGGATGGTGTAAAAATTCTGGATCTAACAAGGTTTGTACTGGCTTATGTTTGTTTTGGTGATTATTTTTTCATCTTTTCTCAAAAACATTTATTTATTTTTTGGATTATAAGTGGATACTTAATGTTTATGGTGAAATTTTGGAGAAGAAAAAAAATTCCTATAATCTTATTATTCTAAGCGGCAATTAGTGTAATATTTAATGTATTTTTCCAATCTAAATATTTATATATAATCAAAAAAACAAAAATTTTAACCATATTGAAATTAGTTTTATACATTTTAAAAAGGAATATTTTGAATATTTTCCCATGTCATTCAAAATTCAACAAAAACGTGTGATAGTATTCTACTATGTAAATGTCACATAATTATTTAATCATCCCCAAATAATTCACTCTTATAGATTAGGCTTCCTGTACATAGATCTAAGCCTTCGTTTCTATTTTTTCTTCAGGACAGATCTCTCAAAATAAAATTACTAGATCAAAAGGAATATATTTTTAGGTCGAGTGCAGTGGCTCACACCTGTAATCCTAGCACTCTGAGAGGCTGAGTGGGTGGATTGCTTGAGCTCAGGAGTTCAAGACCAGCCTGAGCAAGAGTGAAACCCTGTCTCTAAAAAAATAACTGGCATTGTGGCAGGCACCTGTAGTTCCATCTCCTGGGGAGGCTTAGGCAGGAGGATCACTTGAGCCTAAGAGTTTGAGGTTGCTTTGAGCTATGATGCCATGATATTGCAGGAGGGTGACAGAGTGAGACTCTGTCTAAACCAGAGGTCCTCAAACTTTTTAAACAGAGGGCCAGTTCACTGTCCCTCAGACCATTGGAGAGCCAGACTGTGGGCCCCAGGATGAGTCGGCTGCTAAGCAGAACAGACAGCCGTGGCAAAAACACCTGGTGGGCTGGATAAATGTCCTAGGCGGGCCGTATGTGGCCTGCGGGCCGTAGTTTAAGGACACCTGGTAAACAAACTAACAAACAAATGGTATATACTTTTTCAAAGCTCTTGATACATATGGCCAAATTACAGTTTTAATAATTTTGATTCTTGGATCTGATGTACTCAATACTAATTTGAAACTAGCAGATGGAGAACTACCTGCCTACATGATTGGAAAAACACAAGCGGGGAGCAGTGGGTTAAGGGGCTCATTAAGTCCCTACCTAATGGATTCAATGTAGAGGTATATAGCACAACTTCTGGGTGAAGAGGTCAAATTTAAATTGGAACATTTCCTACCAAGTGCAAACAATGTTACCTAATTGTAGGTACCCTTATATTAATCTAAAATAAGAAAAAATAATTTGATTCTTACAAGCTTTATATGAGCTTATGTATATTGAACTATTAAGATTATATTAAATAAAAATTTTTAAGATTGTAATTATTTATCGTTGTTAATATTGTAGAGTCCTGGCAGGACCTTTTGCTACTATGAATTTAGGAGATCTTGGAGCAGAAGTCATAAAAGTGGAAAGACCAGGTAAAGCTCTTATTCCCTTTAAAACACAGAAACAAGGGCCAGGCATGGTGGCTCCTCCTGGCACTTGGGAGGCTGAGGTGGGTGGATTGCCTGAACTTACAGGTTTGAGACCAGCCTGAGCCAGAGTGAGACCTTGTCTCTAAAAATAGCCTGGAGTTGTGGCAGGCTCCTGTAGTCCCAGCTACTTGGGAGGTTGAGGGAAAAGAATTGTTTAAGCCTAGGAGTTTGAGGTTGCTGTGAGCTATGACACCATGGCACTCTACCATGGGAGACAAAGTGAGACTCTGTCTCATAAAAAAAAAAAAAACAAAAAAAACCCCCAAAACAGAAACAAGCTAATACTTTTACTAATTCTTTAAATATCCACATTGAATATACCTGTAAGTGGGATGAGGAAAGAATTGAAATGAAATTATTATTTTCTCTTTTCTATTATTTATTTTCCTCTGAAGGTAGACCAAAGATCTCTTTCTACCCTATATATGCTAAGGGCTAAGGCTTAAGCTAGTTTCTTCTTATGCACCTGAAAGCTTCTGTTATAAGCTGAGGTATAACATCTGGTAACAAAAATGATAACACCATTTATCATAACAGTACTTATAAGAGTGTCAGCCTCAGTTCTAAACACTGCTTATTTTAGTTTATCTAGTCTTTACAACAACCCTATGGGCTGATGTTATCATTCCTAGTTTATAAACAAGAAAGCAGAGGCACAGAGAGGTAAAGCAATTTATTCAGGGTCACATAGCTAATTAAGGAATATCCAAGCACTATGTTCAGATCTTGACCCTAGTTGCTCTGTGCAGTCCTTACTATTGAGACTGAGATTATAGTGGGCCTGACCACATTCTCTTACTGTGGGATAAAAGGGAAGGCAAGGACAAAGGGAGGAGAGAAGGGAAGGAGTAGGATACAGAAGGAGAGGAGGAAAAGGAATCAAAGTTTGTCAAAAAGAAGCTCAAATATCTAAATCATTCTTTTCTGATAAAAGAAATATTTCTATGTTTTATAATATTAGAGGTTTTGAGGGGAACACACAAAAGGTTAGATCACTTTTTTGCTTTTATGTTTTTTTTTTTTTTTTTTGAGACAGTTTTACTATGTTGCCCTCGGTCTAGAGTACTGTTGTGTCATAGCTCACAGCAACCTCAAACTATTGGGCTTAAGCAATTCTCTTGCCTCAGCCTTCCAAGTAGCTGGGACTAGAGGCACCCGCCACAGTGCCCAGCTATTTTTTGTTGCAGTTGTCATTGTTCTTTTAGCTGGCCAGGCTGGGTTCAAACCCCCCAACTTTGGTGTATTTGGCTGGCACCCTAACCACTGTGTGCTAACGGTGCTGAGCCTGCTTTTATGTTTTTCATCTGTGTACACAATTATCACATTTTTTAAAATTTGAGACAGAGTCTAGCTCTGTGGCCCTGGCTAGAGTGCAGAGGCTTCATTATAGCTCCCAGCAAGGCCAAGTGATCCTGGGGTCAAGTGATCCTCTTGCCTCAGCTCCCGAGTAGTTGGGACTACAGGAGTGTGTCCCCATGCCCTGCTGCTAATTTTTCTATTTTTCATAGAGATGGGGTTTTGCAATTCTCACTTTTATCTAGTGCTATCTTAGCACTTTGGTGTGTAGTTCATGGTGTTATTGATAAAATTGCTTAGAAAAGTGTCATTATTGTGTGCCCTTTCTCTCCAATAAGCACGGAAAGGGGTATACAGTCCATGTTTTTTTTTTTTCCTGTTTGTTTGTTTTTTGCAATTAAATGGCTTTATTCCACCTAGGTGTAGATGGGGAGGATACAGTTCATATTTTTTATGTCTACTACCTTGTTTTGGAAGTTTGGAACAATTTATATTATTATTTTTGTTTCAAGATCTGATCCTTTTGGGTCTGGAACAAAATTCTCAAATTAGTGAGACTGGTCTATTGCTGTATCTATAAGACTTATAAGAGACTAATTTATAATTATGTCAACTTATTTATAATTGTTAAGACCCATAAAGTAAAATACTTTGATCTGGACTATTGAACTTCCTACTAAGTAGATCTTGTTAAAAGGGCAAAGAAGTTAGCAGAATATTCTCTAATAAGCAAGGGGAATATTGAGTATTGTTATATTTTATTACATTTTAAGTAGCTAACCTGTGCTTATTGGTGTCAGGTGGTGGAAGAGCCTGGTGAGTTCTACTTTCCAGAAATAATGCTTCATTTATCCAGTCAGTGATGTTCATTACTTTTGATCATGGCTGGATACTGACTGAATACTTTTTCTAGTTTGAATAAAGCTTGTAATTTTCACATTGCTATCTGGTTTCAGTGCAACAGCACTTCCTGATTTTAATCATTGGTTTTCTTGTATCTTCCATTCTTAGAGCAGTTAATCTCATATCTCTTGTTATTTCAGTTGGTCACCAACCTAATAGTTGTATTATATTAATTTCATAAGTCATTTTTCCCTGTATATTTAAACCCCTTTCTCCTTTGTAACTTTTTGTTTCCGCCATGAGAGACAAGACCTTTCTTTCTCTAGGCCTTTATGATGTCTCATTGCCATACGCTTGGCATCAAATTTGTTCCTAGCAGGTGTTTATTCTTTTTTTTTGAGACAGTCTCACTGTGTCAACCTTGGTAGAGTACTGTGGCGTCATAGCTCACAGCAACCTCAAACTCTAGAGCTTAAACCAGGGGTCCTCAAACTTTTTAAACAGGGGGCCAGTTCACTGTCCCTCAGACCGTTGGAGGGCCGGACTGCAGGGCCCGGGATGAGTCGGCTGCTAAGCAGGACAGGCAGTGGCAGCAAAAACACCTGGCGGGCTGGATAAATGTCCTAAATGAGCCGCATGTGGCCTGCCGGCCGTAGTTTGAGGACTCCTGGCTTAAGTGGTTCTCTTGGCTCAGCATCCCAAGTAGCTGGGACTATAGGCGTCCACCACAATACCTGGCTATTTTTTTGTTGCAGTTGTCATTGTTGTTTAACTGGCCTGGGCCAAGTTCAAACCTGTCAGCCTGGGTGTACTGTGACTGGTGCCCTAACCACTGTGCCGAGCCTATTGTTCTTATTTTGACTGATTATTCTTGTTCCTTTAGCTCTCCTGCCAAATATATTTTAATATTCGTATTACAAATGTAATTGTTTTGGGGTTTTAACATATTTATTCAATATGGATTTGAGGAAAGCTAACTTTGGAATACTAAGAGCAACTTGGTAGTATTTTCAAATTTCAGTCTCTTTTTGTGTCCACTTCTCCAGCTCTTTAGATAAAATTTGGTTGTAGTTTTCTGACTCAGGACTTAGATTATTATTATTTTTGTAATCATGGAGCGTGTCACCCTTAAGTATAATTTTTTTCGTTGGTTCTTAGAGGTAGCCGGTCAGAGGGTATAATCTGTATGCCTGCAGGGCCAGGCAGGGACCCTAAGTGAGGGAAGTAGGCTGGGCAGGACAACAGATGCTGCTGCTAAAATTGAAGGATTGTCTCCATTAGGCTAAGATGATGCGCCCAGGGATCTTGGTCTTTTGTTCACTGTTGTGTCTGCTCTGCAAAAAGCAGTGTTTCTGATGTAGTTGGTGCCCAATAAATATCTGCTGAATGAATGAATGTGTTGAAAGGCCGTCTAAGAAAGGCAGTGTGAATTTCTATAGGATGTGTTCAGGCTTTGAAATCATGGTACCTAGTTGAAAACTTTAAAAACTACATGGGTTGGGTGGTGCCTGTACCTCAGTGGGTAGGGCACTGGCCCCATATACTGAGAGTGGCTGGTTCAAACCCAGCCCCGGCCAAATTGCAAAAAAAAAAATAGCTGGGCATTGTGGCGGGTCCTGTGGTCCTAGCTACTTGGGAGGCTGAGGCAAAAGAATTGCCAAAGAGCTGGAGGTTGCTGTGGGCTGTGACCCTACGGCACTCTACCTCTACCGGGGGTGACAAAGTGAAACTCTGTCTCTAAAAAAAAAAGAAACAAAAAAGAACTACATGAGTGAAGTAAAACATGTCTCTCACACTGCCAGTTTTTCACCAGTTTGTGACCTTTAATCTTATGTTGCTTGTCATGTGCCGTGGGCACGGATCCTTCTGCCTCTTCAAAACCCAGGCTAGACCCTAAGGATGGGAGGAAGAGAAGGGCAGGTAGGCCTCCAATTTAGACTTCTGACATCGTGTCCACCAGAGAAATGAATGCAAACTTTTTTTTTTGAGACAGAGTCTCTAGCTGTTGCCCTGGGTAGAGTTCTCTGCCGTCATAGCTCACAGCAACCTCAAACTCTTGGGCTTAAGCGATTCTCTTTCCTCAGCCTCTCAAGTAGCTGGGACTACAGGCACCCACCATAGCACCTGGCTATTTTTTTTTATTGTAGTTGTCATTGTTGTTTAGCAGGCCCAGGCTGGACTTAATCCCGCCAGCCTTGGTGTATGTGGCTGGCACCCTACTCACCGAGTACAGGCACTGCCTGAATGCAAACATTTAAAACAAACGAATTTTAGCTTTACTTTGGCATTGCTTCTTCTTTAAAAATTTTTTTTAATGCATGGGGAATTTCAAAAAAATGGAAGAGGTTGGACTCTCTTGTGACTCTGAGCCTGAAGATCCATATTTACACACACATTTCCCATGAAGTTTGTTCCAACTGGTTTGTTTCTGGGAGGTTGCCTTAGAGGACGCTGGCAGTTCCTTTTTCCGCTTAATGTTTTGAGTGTGCCATTCTTGGTACTTAGCATTTATTGCTTTGTGTCATTATTGGTTCATCTCCAGTTAGAACTAATGCCTCTTCTTTCCTCTGTCCTGTGTACTTTGTTCTTGTGTGTGGTTTTTTTTAAATAAATGAGTTTATTTCTCAGCCTCTTTTTTCCCCCCAAAAGATTCTGTCTGTTTTTCGTGATCAGTGTAAGTGGTTAAAGTCTAATGGCTAGGCTCGGCACCTGTGGCTCAAGTGGCTAAGGCACCAGCCACATACACCTAAGGTGGCAGGTTTGAATCCAGCCTGGGCCTGCCAAACAACAATGATGGCTGCAACCAAAAAAAATAGCCAGGTGTTGTGGCGGGCGCCTGGGGTCCCAGCTACTTGGGAGGTGGATGTAGGAGACTCACTTGAGTCCAGGAGTTGGAGGTTGCTGTGAGCTGTGATGCCACAGCACTCTACCCAGGGGGATAGCTTGAGGCTCTGTCTCAAAAAAAAAAAAAAGAAAGTCTAATGGCTAATAAATTAATTATGTCTTTTAAATATTAGCGTTTAAAACTAACCCATATTCATAAATTCTCTCTTTTAGAGGGGCTAGTGATAAATCCTTTCACTGTTATAATTACCTGTACACCTATAAGTTTTTTTTTTTTTATTGAATGGTAACTGTGTACATTAAAGCACTTCTGGGGTACAGTGTGGGGTTTTCACACACAATCTGAAACACTTCCATCAAACTGGTTAACATAGCCTTCATGTCATTTAGTTTTTTTAATCAATATTGAATCTGAGCTTATATTGTAAAAATCTTAATTTAATTGATTCTGTTTTGTGCTTTTTAATTATTGATTCATTTCTGAGTTCTATCTATGCTCTTTGTTGGTTGGTTTTTGCACCGAGAAAGTTCATTTTTCTGTAATTCTACAGTGTCATATTTGTTTATTTATTATTATTTTTTTTTTCAGAGACAGTGCCTCACTTTGTTGCCCTTGGTAGAGTGCTGTGGCATCATGGCTCACAGCAACCTCCAACTCCTAGGCTTAAGTCATTCTCTTGCCTCAGCCTCCCGAGTAGCTGGGACTATAGGGGCCCACCATAATGCCCAGCTATTTTTTTTTTTTGTTATTGTTGTTGCAGTTTGGCTGGGGGGTTCCAACCCGCCACCCTCTATATATGGGGTTGGCGCCCTACTCACTGAGCCACAGGCGCTGCCCTACAGTGTTATATTTGCATCAGACATGAATACATTTCAGAATTACATGAAGTAGATATCCAGAATAAAACACCCTATATTTTTGTCTTTATGTTTTCAGACTTCTACTTTGAAGTAAGACCTGGAAAGCTAAAATTTTATTCTAAAAATGGCCTTTTAAATTATTGACATTTGCTATTTAGTAACTTAACTTGCCTTTCTGATTTGTTACTACAGAAGTATTTTGTAGACTTATTAATCACTATGCTGTACCTAGCCCCAGATGCCACTTTATGATGAAGACTCAATATCATTATTCTGATTTAAATTATATTTAATGAAAATCTATTGCAGACACAACATTTTCTTGCACATTCAATGCCAAGAAATGCTGAAAGAATTAACTTCCTTGCCAAAATCTGAGAGTAATTTTTTTTTGTTTTTGTAGAGACAGAGTCTCACTTCATTGCCCTCGGTAGAGTGCCGTGGCGTCATACAGCCCACAGCAACCTCCCACTCCTGGGCTTAGGCGATTCTCTTGCCTCAGCCTCCCGAGTAGCTGGGACTACAGGTGCCCGCCACAACACCCGGCTCCTTTTTTTTGTTGTTGTTGCTGTTTGGCCAGGGCCGGGTTTGAACCCACCACCCTCTGTATGTGGGGCCAGCGCCCTACTCACTGAGCCATAGGCGCTGCCCTGAGAGTAATTTTTTCACTTTTGAAATTTGCTGTTCATTAAATATGAAGACTGCCAGTAGGATATTTCCTTTGAAATAATGGAATTCTTTTCAGTAATGGAAGTTAGTGAAAATGCCAGTAGGATATTTCCTTTGAAATAACAGAATTTCCTTTCAGTAATGGAATTTAGTGAAAATGAACACAGAAAGATTTAGTGATTTAATGTGAACAGGCCAAAAAGTTGGGCAGTTTTAACAAGCTCCTGTGGCCCCCTGTAGGCCACTGATTGCACTGCGCTGAGCTAATCTTGCTCAGGTGCCCTTGGATGTCTATGATGAGTGAGCCTATTGGTTTGAAATGCCTCATGATGTTTCAATATTAAAAATTAATAGCTCATATTATTATTTTCAGGAGCTGGTGATGATACACGAACTTGGGGGCCACCTTTTGTGAGGACAGAAAGTACATATTTTCTTAGTGTTAACCGAAATAAAAAAGTAAGATGCTATCCCTTTTTTAGTTTTTTGGGGTAATCCTTTTGTAATAACAAAATTTTTGATATCATTATGGCTTATTTTATTATTTTTTGTAGGTGTAGCAAATATTTCAAATAAGGTGAAATTTTATTCATTCACCAGTCTCCAAAGAGAAATAGTAGAGCCTTGTACTAATCTTCCTTCTCTGCTAAATAACTTAAAACATTTCATAAGAGTTTATTTTATTTTATTTTTGAGACAGAGCCTCAAGCTGTCCCCCTGGGTAGAGTGCTGTGGCATCACAACTCACAGCAACCTCCAACTCCTGGTCTCAAGCGAGTCTCCTGCCTTCGCCTCCCAAGTAGCTGGGACTACAGGCGCCCGTCACAACGCCCAGCTATTTTTTGGTTGTAGCCTTCATGGTGGGCCCGAGCTGGATTTGAACCCGCTACCTTAGGTGTATGTGGCTGGTGCCTTAGGTGTATGTGGCTAGAGCCATTCATAAGAGTTTATAATGAACCCGCTACCTTAGGTGTATGTGGCTGGAGCCATTCATAAGAGTTTATAATGAAAATAATTTTATGAGACTGTCTCAAAAAAAAAGAAATCATTTTATGAAAGAGAGAAATAATTTGATTCTTTACATTGGTTATTCTTTTGGAGACTGCTAATTGTTTAATACTTAGTATTACTGAAAAAAATTATTATATTATTATTATAATTAATATTACTATGTAGTATTACTATAGTATTATTATTGAAAAACATTACTATAATCCTTGCTATCATCCTAACGAATGGTGATTGCAAATAAAACTTTTGAAGAGTAAATATGATTTAAATTTTTTGTTATGAGTAAAATAAATTTAAGAGATGTGTCTATGATATGAAAACCTTTCTTGTTGAATGTCAATAATTAGAAAAACCTTTATAATAGTATTTTAACACAAATATTTTAATTTTTAGAGTATAGCTGTTAATATGAAGGATCCCAAAGGAGTGAAAATTATCAAAGAGGTACAGTATGCTCTGTGGGGGGCATTTTACTACCTAGGTTGTAATTAGAGATTTAAACATCAGAGTAAAAGTGTTTTAAAAACTTCATTTTAATGAAAATTTTTGTTTTGTGATAAATGACCTTTAAGAGTTTAATTTGAGTTTTAAGTGTAATGTGCTTGGTAATTTCTTGCATATTGTATATAAATATGGTATTATCTGTTATTGACTGAGTGCCTATTCTGCATCAGATCCTGGGCTTGGGTACTTTACCTCCCTTATCTCCTCTAATCCTCAAAATTTGCCTTGTAAGTGAAGTATTGCAATTCCCATATTCATGAAAGGGAATTGAGTCTCAGGGATTCTAAAGGGTGCTTCAAAGATTACTTACTTAGCTAATAGGGGGAAAAGCTGACATTTGAACCTAAGTCACCTCACTGGAGAGCCGAAGCTTTTTCTAACACTTACTCAGATGGCCAATATATTCACTACTGATCTCAGTATCTTTCTTTGAGGGCAGGGAGGCATAATGGTTAAGGACACTTATCTATACATGGAACTCAAATCTTGCTTTTTCTACTTACTGGCTATATATGTCGATGTCATAAGTGACTAAGTTCTTTGTGGCTCAGTTTTTTCATCACTAAACTGGGGATAATAATAGTACCTACATCTTAGGGCCATTGTTACCATTAATATGTGTAGAGTGTGTAGAAAAGTGCATGCCACGTGGTCAGCACTCACTATTAGCTATTATTTCCTGATGCACTTGATGTTGGATTCATCACATTAGATGAAACTTGTTTACCATCCTTCCTTGTTGAGGCTTATAATATAATCTAATGGATGTATAGTTTATCTAAGTACACAAGGGATTGGTTCCAGGACTCCTGAGTATACCAAAATCTAAGCACATTCAAGACCCACAGTTGGCCCAGCAGAACCCACTTATACAAAAAGATGGACTTCAGTTGTTGCAATGGCTTACTCCTGTAATGCTAGCACTTTGGGATGCCAGGAGGATTGCTTGAGGCCAGGAGTTTGAGCAACATAGTGAGACCCTGCATATATATATATATAATTAACCATGTATGGTGACACATCCCTGTAATTCTAGCTACTTGAGAAGCTGAGGTGGGAGGATTGCTTGAATCTAGGAGTTCAAGGTTACAGTGAGCTATGACTGTGCCACTGCACTCTACCCTGAGTGACAGAGACACTGTCTCCAAAAACAGAAAAGTCGGCCCTTGGTGTAGGTTGACTTGCTTCCCATGAGAACTGTATTTTCCATTCATACTTATTTGGAAAAAAATCCATTCCATGTATAAGTGTTGGCAGTTCAAACCCATGTTTTTCAAGGGTCAACTATATATCTATTTGATTCAAGAACAAAGTCTCAACTTTTTTTTTTCAAAGTACAACTTTTAATACACCATTAATACTAATAATTAAAAATTATTGCAGGTCAGGCACGGTGGCTCATGCCTGTAATCCTAGCACTCTGGAAGGCCCAGGCAGGTGGATTGCCTTGAGCTCACAGGTTTGAGATTTGAGATCAGCCTGAGCTCGAGTGAGACCTTCTCTCTAAAAATAGCTGGGTGTTGTGGTGGGCACCTATAGTCCCAGCTACTTAGGAGGCTGAGGCAGGAGAATCGGTGGAGCCCAGGAGTTTGAGGTTGCTGTGATCTATGATGCCACAGCACTTTACCGAGGGCAACAAAGTGAGACTCTGTCTCCAAAAAAATAAAAAATTAAAAAATAAAAATAAAAATAATCACATAGTCTTTTTTTTTGGCTGAGGCTGGGTTTGAACCCACCACCTCCAACATATGGGGCCTGTGCCCTACTCCTTTGAGCCACAGGCACCGCCATAATCACATAGTCTTATGCATTTACCCTAAAATATTTTCAGAAAGTAAACCAATTATATAAAAGACAAATAACCCTTTAAAACATAGGTGGCCTTTACTGCCTCAATCGTCTATCCTTCCTTGTACTTTTGTCCAATGTTTTCTCATTATCTCCTCTGTACTTTGGGCAATACCATTTCCCTTTTGGCTTATAGGTAAGTGAAACACATCAAAAGTGAAACCATTCAACTGGACATTGTTCATTGTCACATCCTATCATTTCCCGATAAGACACTTGGTTGTGCAAACAGTATGTGATTTCATTGCAATCTATTGCAACAGTTGAAGCTTCTCTTTCCTGCTTGGCCTTGGAGTGTTTCTTTTTCTTTGCTGACTTGGATTTCTTTTCCTTAGGTGGCTGATCATCACAGTCTTCAATCTCATTTTTCATGTGACATAAGTCGTGGCTTTCTTTTTTCTTTTCTTTTTGAGACAGAGTTTTACTATGTTGCCCTGGGTAGAGTGCATTGGCATCACAGCTCACAGCAACCTCAAACTCTTGGGCTTAAGCAATTCACCTTAGCCTCCCAAGTAGCTGGGACTACAGGCGCTTGCCACAATACCTGGCCAGTTTTTTTTTTGTTGTTGTTGTTGTTTAGCAGGCCTGGGCTGGGTTTTAACCCACCAGCCCTGGTGTATATGGCTGGCGCCCTAACCACTGAGCTACGGGCACCAAGCCAAGTCACGGCTTTCACTGGTTCCCTGTCTGCGGGTTCTCTTCGAAGGTCTTTCTGGTTGGCTGGAATCCATCTTTACTTTCTCCGAGGCTCGCTTACTTTCAGCAGGATCTTGGAAACACTGTGAAAGCAATTCCATTTGTCTTGCCTGATTTTCCACCAATTTGAGCATCTGTGTGACAATTTCAATTTTTTCATCTCTCAATTCTTGACTATTGATTAATGCTCTCTGGAGAAGCTGCTGTAGGCATTTTTTTCTGGTTTACATCATCTTATTTCTTATGTTTTTCATAGACATCATCAGTTTCCTTTAATGTTTGAGGTGCTAGGGTCAGCGATGGTCCTAGCAGCTGTGTCTGTGTCCTGATTTATTGGTTGGTAAAGAGATGTAGATGTGAAACATCACAACAAACATCTTGCAGACCTCAGCACTGACTCTACTAGGGTCAAACTGATGCCCTGCATGGCCTGACTCCCTCTGGAGCTCCCAGCTAAGCCTAAGTCCCTGTGACCACCAGCCATTTTCCAGGAGGGTGAGGAGTGCTCAACTTTTGGGTTTTATCAAAGCATCAACTTTAGCTTCATTGCTCTGCTTCTACGTTATCTATGTAGGTAACTGAAAGATAATATATTTTTTTTTTTGGTTGCAATTTTTGGCCGGGGCTGGGTTTGAACCCACCACCTCTGGCATATGGGGCCGGCACCCTACTCCTTGAGCCACAGGTGCCACACTCTGAAAGATAATTTTTGATTATTAAGATTACAATCAGTTACCATCCTCTTTGGTTCTGCTGGATCAAGCCAGCCAATTTAGCATTTTTGTTCACTAGACATATAGTAGAACTAGAGTTGTCTACCTCCCTACATTGATCACCTCCTTAAGTTGGCCTAATTTTCACAGGCCAGACGTGTACCACATATACATATGAGTTATAGTAGGCCTAGTTCTTTAAGTTTGCCACTTCTATATTTTGATCAGTTTGTTATAGTCTCTTGAGTGGTCAGCTTTTAGAAATTCTGCTACATTTTGGACCCCAACCTTGCAAATATAATTATGTTACCACCCTGCTTTCCTATATCTTTAGCGTGACTTAGGTTTAGTTTGTTTTTCTTTTGAAATTCAGTTTGATTTTTCTAGATTGTTTTCTATTGTTGTGACTGTTCTCACATTGGACCCAACTCCTGCTGTCTTTATTCTCAGGCCCTTCTTTCTATCTTCTCCTCAATAGTTAGCATTATTATTTTTATCTAGGAGATTGTTTTACCTTTAACACTTTTCAGTTCTGTGTTTCTTCATAATATCTTCAGTACTCATAGTCCTGCTTCTTTGATTCCATTGCAGAATATTCTGATAATATATGCTGAGTAGTCAAGGTTTCAGATTTGTTTTAAAGAATACTTTACATTTTAGGCCAGGCTCAGTGATGGCTTATGTCTGTAATTCTAGTACTCTGGGAGGCCGAGGCAGGTGGATCACTTGAGGTCAGGAGTTTGTGACCAGCCTGAGCAACAGCCAGTGTCCTCTACAAGATTGTAACAATTTAAAATTATATTCCATTAGCTGCTTGGATTATCTTCAAATCATATTCATAACCATTCAGTCTATTTCAACTCACATTAAAGGTAAATAGATTCCCTGGGGACATTATTTATGTCTATTGTTTTTAGCTAGTTACTCTGTTCATAAGTAATGTATCATACTACGTAGAGGAAAATATTATGTTTTTGCCTAGTATTTTATATTCTTTCTGGCATGGATTTTTTTTTTTTTTTTTTTTTGAGACAGAGTCCCAAGCTGTCGCCCTGGGTAGAGTGCTGTGGCATCACAGCTCATAGCAACCTCCAACTCTTGGGCTTAAGCAATTCTCTTGCCTCAGCCTCCCAAGTAGCTGGGACTACAGGTGCCTACCACAATGCCCGGCTATTTTTTTTGTTGTTGTTATTGTTGTTTTAGCTGGTTCAGGCTGGGTTTGAACGTGCCAGCCTTGCTGTCTGTGGCTGGCACCGTACCCACTGAGCTACAGGCACTGCCAAAATATACTTTATTTTATTTATTTATTTATTTATTTTTATTTTTTTGAGACAGAGTCTTGTTATGTCACCCTTGGTAGAGTGCTGTGGCATCACAGCTCATAGCAACCTCAAACTCTTGGGCTTAAGCAATTCTCCTGCCTCAGTTGCCTAAGCAGCTGGGGCTACAGACACCCACCATAATGCCCAGCTATTTTTTGTTGTAGTTGTCATTGTTATTTAGAAGGCTCAGGCCGGGCTTGAACCCACCAGCCCCAGTGTATGTGGCTGGCATTCTAAACACTGAGCTACGGGCACTGAGCCATCTGGAATGGATTTCTCTTTTGGCCTTATGGGAAGCAAACAAAACCCCTGCACTTAGGCCTTGGTGGCTATGATTGTTAATATAATGAGTCCAGTATAGAAACAGTTCCAAAGTATTATACAAGGCAATCAGCTGGACACATGAGAGCTCCAAAATGTATTACTCCTTTGTCAACTCAGGTAACCAAAACAGGTAGTGCAAAAAGCAAAGTTCTGCTTAGAAAATCTATGTGGAGCCTAGCATTGTCTTAGCAATATGATTTGATAACTCTCAAACGTGACACCCGAAATTTCAAATGATTTTTTGTGTTAATTAGAAAGTCACAGTATCCTAATTATGGGCATATATTATGTATTGTCAGCAGAGCAATGCCATGGGTTTTGTTTTACTCCAATATTTTATTACAAAAATTAAAACAGTCAGAAAAGTTGAAAGAATAATTAATGAACTCTTACTTATTCCTGTGCTTAGATGAAATAATGTTGGCATTTTGTTATACACCATGTATGTTTTTGTTGTTGTTGTTTGTTTTTAGAGACAGAGTCTCACTATGTCGCCCTGGATAGAGTGCCGTGACGTCATAGCTCATAGCAACCTTAAGCTCTTGGGCTTAAGAGATTCTCTTGCCTCAGCCTCCCGAGTAGCTGGGACTACAGGTGCCTGCCATAATGCCCAGCTGCTTTTAGAGATGGGGTCTTGCTGTGGCTCAGACTGGTCTCAAATCTGTGAGCTCAGGGCAGTCCACCCTCCTTGGCCTCCCAGAGTGCTAGGATTATAGGTGTGAGCCATTGCACTGGCCTTCTGCCCTATGTCTGAACCTATTTATACCTCTCCTGAGAAGTGATCACCTGGGCTTCAGCTTTCCACCCTTCTGAACAACGACAACTTACTTCCTTGAGATACTTCCTGAGATTTACCTTGCCTCCAGTTTTGTTATGTCAGACAATTGTATATATACTCCAGTTTGGTGTTATGTTGTATAGACATAAGAATACTCAATTTATTTATATGTATAAATCTGAAGTTTATACTACTTCCAACATTCTGTCTATAGCAAATATTGGCATACTATGTAAGCTTGTTTTTATATGGCCCATGAACTAAGAATGGATTTTACATTTTTAAAGATTGTTAAAGAAAAATAAGGAAGAATGTGTGACAGAGAATGTGTGTGGCCTGCAAAGCCTAAAATATTTACTATTTGACTTTCATAGAAAAGGTTTGGCCATCCCAACCTAGATTCTTATTCTGTTATGTTACTTTATATATGTGTGACTATCCTTAAGTCAGTATCTAAATCTATGTTAACATGGCAATTAAAAAATTATTAAATAGTTATCAGACACCTGGATGTGTTCAAGAATGACTATAATGAATTTACGTGGGTGAACTAGTATAATTTTTGTGTTGGTTAAAAAACGGACTTTGACAGATAAGCAGTCACAACTGAAATTCTGAAAAAAAAATTAAAACTAAGTGTTATAACAGTTCATTGCCCTCTAATTCATATAGCAGTGGTCTGGGAATCAAAATATGGATCCTATTTCTGATAGTTACTGGTTGACTGGGCTATAGTTTAATAGTTAAAAAATAGACTCCAATGGTTCATTATAAACATTTAAAACTTGGGCAGTGCCTGTGGCTCAGTGAATAGGGTGCCAGCCCCATACACTGAGAATGGCGGATTTGAACCCGGTCCTGGCCAAATTGCAAAAGTAGCCAGGTGTTGTAGCAGGCGCCTGTAGTCCCAGCTACTGGGGAGGCTGAGGTAAGAGAATTGGCTAAGCCCAAGAGCTGGAGGTTGCTGTGAGCTGTGAGGCCTCAGCACTCTACTGAGGGTGACAAAGGTAGACTCTGTTTCTAAAAAGAAAAATAAATAAATACATTTAAAACTCATTGGAAAGAAAGTGTTTGAACTGTATGAAAGCATTTCAGAATCATGTTTACATGTGTTAAATGAATATTATAATGAGGACTGTTACATAATAGGGATGGAGAGTAGTAAAGACATTGTATTTAGGCCAGGCGCGGTGGCTCACACCTGTAATCCTAACACTCTGGGAGGCTGAGATGGGTAGATTGCTTGAGCTTAGGAGTTTGAGACCAGCCTGAAGAAAAGACTAAAAATAGAAAAACTGAGGCAGGAGGATCACTTGAGCCCAAGAGTTGAGGTTGCTGTGAGCTATGTCACTATGGCATTCTACTGAGGGTGACAAAGTGAGACTCTTGTCTTAAAGAAAAAAAAAAAGAAAAAGACATTGTATTTTTTTTATAGAAGTTTTTAAGATTTTTAAAATATATTTTATATGCTTATTTTCTAATTTTTCTACATAATTATTTGAGAGTATATTTGGACAGAGCATGTAACCTTTATCTAGGCTATATTTAAAGGAAACAGAATCTGTTCAATACCATGTATTTACAAAAAATTTTGTAGCCATTATTTTACTGACAATAAGACTTTGAGTAGTTGGCCTGAGATTTTACATTTATCTAATTCTACTTCATCTGTCTTCTATGATTTTTCTAGACTATTATAAAGTGAGGATCAATTGTGTTTACTGGAATTAAAATTCTGTCATGTAGAGATTTGTCGAAAATTTAGAAACCTGACTTGTCTACACCTCTTCCTTTAGCTTGCAGCTATTTGTGATGTATTTGTGGAAAATTATGTCCCTGGAAAACTGTCTGCTATGGGCCTGGGATATGAAGATATAGACAAGATTGCTCCTCACATCGTCTACTGTTCCATCACAGGTATTCCAACCCCATCTCCCGATAGTGAACAGATTTTCTTCTTGGTTTTTTTTTTTTTTTAGGATATAAAAGTATAAGTTTATTTTATATTTTAGAAGGAGGGGGAGAGAGAGAAGCTGGGAGATAGTGTGGCATCCCACTGAATAGATTTTTTAATTTCATCTTTTTCTTTTCTTACATGGAACCTCCTGCTGATACTGGTTTAAAGTGATTTGACTTTCCCTTTACTCAGGCCATTTAGGCTGCTGAATATTAACTTATAAAAATTTCAGAATATTATAGCATTACACATGTTTTGGTTACATAGTTTGCCTCTGTATATTTTAAGTCAAAGTTCTTAGTGTGTCCTTCATCCAGAAAGTATGCAAGGCACTTGTCAGGTGGTAGTTTACCCATCCCTCCCACTCCACCTATTTGAATTCCGTTGAGTTTTGCTTTCATATGTGCACAAAAGTATTGATCAACTAGTTCCAATTTAGTACTGAGTACATATGGTGTTTGTTTTTCCACTCCTGTAATACTGGTCTCCAATTCCATCCAGGTTGTTTAAAAAAGATACTAGGTCACCATTTTTTAATGGCTGAGTAGTATTTAATGAATTAGTGAATTCAGCAAAGTCTCAGGTTAATAAATCAATGTACATGAACCAACAATGTTCATGTATGCCAACAACAGCTAAGCTGAGAATAAAATCAAAGACACAATGCTTTTTACAGTAGCATCAAAGAAAACAAAATATCCAGGAATATATTTAACTAAGGAAATGAAAGACCTTACAGGAAGAATTACAAAACACTGAGGAAAGAAATTGCAGAGGATGTAAACAGATGGAAAAACGGATGCTCATGGAATAGCAGACTGAACACTGAACATTAACTATCAAAGAACACTAACCTATTTGTATTTCTTCTTTGAATTGTCTGCATACAGTCTTGGCAATTTTATATTGATGTTTTACAGATATTTATACTTTTATTCACTCATATACAGGTAAAATATTAATTGGCTTGAAGATAATACAGGAGCTCAGCATATCCCTTTAGTGTATTTCAAAGCACTAAACCAAGGAAAGGAAAAGAATGCTATTAAGTCTTCTGATTGTTCAGCCCTTGCCAGTGAACTTGGTGTGTATGTTGGGGGGTGTGTGTGTGCGCGTGTATCTTTATGCTACAAGGGAGAAAGTCTTAGTGTTACTTAGTTTTACATATAAGTGCCTAGTTATTAATTAGGGATGCAATGTAGAAAAGTGACTCTTAAAGTAGAAGGTTATAGGCTCAGTGCCTGTAGCTCAGTGGTTAGGGCACCAGCCACATACATTGAGGCAGGCAGGTTGAACATGGCCTGGGCTGTTAAACAACAATGACAACTGCAACAAAAAAATAGCTGGGCATTGTGGTGGATGCCTGTAGTCCCAGCTACTTGGGAGGCTGAGGCAAGAGAATCACTTCAGCCCAAGAGTTAAAGGTTGCTGTGAGCTGTGACAACACAGCACTCTACTGAGGGTGACATAGTAAGACTTTGTCTCAAAAAAAGAAGTAGAAAGATATTAATAGTTTTTGTAAAAAATTCATAATAGTTTCAGTGTTTTTTTTTTTTAGACAGAGTCTCACTTTGTCACCCTTGGTAGAGTGCCATGGCATCATAGCTCACAGCAATCTCAAACTCTTGGGCTCCAGCAATCCTCTTGCCTCAGCCTCCCAAGTAGCTGGGACTATAGAAGCTGACCAAAAAGCCTGGCTATTTTTAGAGACGGGGTCTTGCTCTTACTCAGGCTGGTCTTGAATTCCTGAGTGCAGGCAATCTACCTGCTTTGGCCTCCTAGAGTGCTAGGATTACAGTGGGCCTGATACTGTCACTTTTTATTCGTTCATTTACCAAATATTTGCTGCATGCCTATCATCTGCCAGTTAGTATTCTAAGGTGTTGGGATTCAGGAGTGATAAAACACCTCTATGTACTCTAGGAGATTTATGTTTTAGGTTAGGGAGACAGTAAATAAATAAGCACTTTTGGAGGGAGATTAATGCAGTTTCATAGTGATAAGGGCTAAAGAGAAAAGCAAAGCAGGGCAAGAGGGTGGGGTGAGGAGGAGCTATTTTATATTGTGAGGTGAGCGAAGGCTTTGTCCATAAAGCTGAGACCCGGATGAAATAAAAGAGTGAACCACATAGTTACTGGCAAAGCCAGTTTCAGGCAGGACAAATACCAAGTGCAAAGGACCAGAGGCAAGAAAGTTCTGGGTGTGTCTGAGGACCAGCAGTGCCAGAGAGGATGAAGCAGAGTGAGCAAGGGCATGTCACAGGGAGGAAATCAGGGAGAGGTTGGTTAGCAAGGTTATAAACGGCCTCTTGGCTACTTGGAACAAATTTGGCTTTTACTTTGATTACAGTTATAAGCTAATGGAGGATTTTGAGCAGAAGGAAGATATGATCTCATGTAGTTTTGAAAGAAGTCCTCTAGCCACTGTGTTAGGAATGGGCTGTGGAGGACAAAGGTGGAAGCGAAAACACATTTCTGAGACAGCGGTCACTTGAATTAGGTGCAGGGAGTTAAAGGGTGATGGGATTCTGAATGCTAAGGTGTGTGTTAAGATTTACACACAGAGAAATAGTGGTTTTTAAGGATTTGGTTGATATAGACTGGTTAGGTTTGGCCCTAAGCTGAGGGTTGATGGCCTGCTTTGTTCTATATGTCTGTTACAGTCTTTGGACCAGTGGTTACTAAATGCACATTCTCCTAATAGGGAAAGGTGTGATCCCACAGGTTTATTTACAGTCTCTGCTCATGAACATATCACCTCTGCTGTCATGCCATAATTCAGATCAAGTCACATAGCCAAACCCAAAATATATTCTCCTGTAGTGGGAGGAAAGACAAATTCACATGGCAAAGGGTGTGGATTTTGAGAAGGGTGAAGACTGGGAAAAATAATGAATTTTCTCACATCATCCATCCAAATAAAGTACTAATCAACTTGGGAAGCCTCACACTCCCCAAAGTTTCACACTTAGAACTGACCATGTAAGAGCAGGGCCAAAAGTTCTGTGCTTTGATTTATTGATTGGAGAATCTGTTAAGTTTTCTTTCAGTTCTCAAATTCTGTATTAACATTTTTATGTGGCAAAGGGCCTTGGACATAGATTTTGTAATTCAGTATTTTTTGGCTAAGGAGGAATGGGTCTGTCATGTGCTTCTCTGTGATAGAGATGGGGGATTAAAAGGGTGGGGAACAAGTGCAGTCTGAAAAAACACCTCTCATTATTCTATAATCCCTTCCATTCCTACCTCCTGACAATCATTAGAATAACATCCGTGCACTTCATTTTCCTTTATTTCCTGATGGTGAAGTAGATTGAGGATGGCTAAGGTCACACAGATAAATTTAAAACTCATGCTTCTTGACATAACATTAAGTGCCTCTGTGTTTTTTGTACTTCAACATTTCATTGTTAAGTGATGATGTGGATTTCGTGATTCCCAGACAGTGAACAGCTCTACTTGAGAACAATACACTTTTGCCATTCTCTTTCGTCTGTTGTTAATCTTATTTGGAATGGTGGAAGTCATGAACAAATTGTCAAGGAGTAAATTTCAACAGATTCTTTTGGGAGCAAAAGTCATTCATGACTTGTGCATTTGTGTGTATATAAAATAAGATTGATATGTTTTTTAGAAGTTTGATATTTTGGTAATCAGTGTTTTTTATTTTTTAATAAGACTAATTTTATCAGTCTAAAGTCACACATGTTATTATTGGGATCCTAGACTTTCCTGATGTTTCCCAGTGGTATTGCTGTTTTGTTAGTGCTGTTCAAGTTCAAATAGGCTCTTCTTACTCACATGTTGGCCTTATTGCTGATGAGAGTAATCTTAGAATGGCTGAGAGATTTACTTTAATGCTGACAGTTTTGTGGTTGAAATTACCTCAGTCTATGAAATCTGGTCCATGGGACAAAAATGCTAGACTGGTTAATCACAAGGGAGGAAGGAAGGACCTGATTATTTTTTTTAGCATCATTCTCCTAGCATTTCAGAGGAAACTCAGTTTGCATATTAGGGGGCAGTGTTTATTTGCTAGGAATTATTTTCTGAGAAAACTGCTATGTTGCCTGTGTACTGCTAGGTACAGAGATTCTCTAAGGCACGTATTTAAGACTTTTTTTTTTTTTTGCAGTTTTTGGCTGGGGCTGGGTTTGAACCTGCCACCTCCGGCATATGGGGCTGGCGCCCTACTCCTTTGAGCCACAGGCACCGCTGTATTTAAGACTTTTATAGTAGTGCTCCTTTCGATCTCTACCTTTAGAAATATGATAGTATTTTTCTTAACAATTTTAAGTTTTACTTTCTTTCTTTTTTGTCCTCTGAGCATGCTATTAATTACAAAAATTTAGCAATAAGAATCTTCTCCCTCCCTTTTAAAATATTTTTTTTTTCTTCTTGTTAACTGCATTACTATTCCTTTCTGGAAAGATAAACATTACCTTATTTTATTGACTAGACTTAAGTTTATAGTGGAATATTATGTATGTCTTTTAATATAAGTTCCTTTTTTTCTTTTAAGGCAAGGGGTTTTAAAAAATGTCTTTTAGATTTTATAAATATCTCAGGAACATTTTCTAAATCCATGTGCTTGTATGGTTGGAGTACAGGATTCCACTTGAGGACTGGGCCTCTGAGGGACTGCAGGACTCAATTCAGAGAGAATATTCTGTTGTGTTTGACCCATTCTTTAGTTCTAAATACAAAAAGCCAGAGAGCTGTACTTATGAAACAAGAGAAAGCATATGTTAGAATACAGGGAAAGGATAGCCAAGACAGGTTTGAGGAAGAGCATGGCGGCAGACTTGCCCTGTTGGATATAGACTTATTTTGCAACAGTGTGATATTTACGCAGGGATGTCTAAATAGACCAAGGTAACAGATCAGAGAGCTTAGAAGTGGACTGGCACATAGATGGAAATATGATATTTTAGGGCTTATAAATCATTGAAGAATGTGTG